CATGTAGAAGAATGAAAATAGATCTGTATCCATTACTATGTACAAAACTCAAGTCCACATGGATCAAAGACCTCAACATAAAACCAACCACACTGAACCTTATAGAAGAAAAAAAGGGAAGTACACTTCCTAAATATAACCCCGGTATCACAGACACTGAGAGAAACAATTAATAAATGGGACCTCCTGAAACTGAGAAGCTTCTGTAAAGCAAAGGACACGGTCAACAAGATAAAACGGCAGCCTACAGAATGGGAAAAGATCTTCACCAACCCCACATCAGACAGAGGGTGATCTCCAAAATGTACAAAGAACTCAAGAAATTGGTCATCAAAAAAAAAAAATAATCCAATAAAAAAGGGGGGGTGTACAGACCTAAACAGAGAACTGTCAACAGAGGAATCTAAAATGGCTGAATGACACTTAAGGAAATGCTCAGCATCCTTAGTCATCAGAGAAATGCAAATCAAAACAACTCTGAGATTGCATCTTACACCTGTAAGAATGGCCAAGATCAAAAACACTGATGACAACTTATGCTGGAGAGGATATGGGGGTAAAGGGAACACTTCCTTCATTGCTGGTGGGAGTCCAAACTGGTTACAGTCCCTTTAGATTTCAGTATGGCAGTTTCTCAGAAAATTAGGAAACAACCTACCTCAAGACCCAGCAATACCACTTTTGGGTATATATCCAAAGGATGCTCAATTGTACCACAAGGACATGTGCTCAACTATGTTCATGCCCCTCTACCAAAGAATGGATAAGAAAAATGTGGTACATTTACACAATGGAGTGCTACACAGCAGAAAAAAATAGACATTGAAATTTGCAGGCAAATGGATGGAGCTAGAAAACATCATATTGAGTGAGGTAACCCAGACCCAGAAAGACAAATATCATATGTACTCACTCATAAATAACTTTTAAACATACAGCAAAAAAAATAAAAGAGCAGCCTACAATTCACAATCCCAGAGAACCTAGACAACAATGAGGACCCTAAGAGAGACATACATAGATCTAATCTACATGGGAAGTAGAAAAACACAAGATCTCCTGAGTAAATTGGGAACATGGGGAACATGGGAGAGGGTAGGAGGGGAGGGGAGAAGAAAGGAGGGAAGCAGAGGAAAATATATTGCTTAACAAAAACAATAAATTAAAAAATTAAAAGTTAATAAAAATAATTGATTTGACATAGGGATCAAATTGATGAGATTATACAGAATTCATTTGTTATGACCATATAATATATGTATAAGGAGCGCAAAAAAAAAAGCACAACAGGACAGTTTTGTTCTTTAGTCAATTTTGACCACCCGCATGTGTCTCCAGCTCAAAGGGACAAAGCAGTTCTCTACTCAAGAGCCCATGTGTAAGACGTTGTATTAACAATTGAGTCTGTGAGGCATGGCACGTGTCTTTAATGATTTGCAATCTGATTTCCACATCCAGAACATCCACCTTCATCTTTCAACATAGGACCAACTTTCTAGCTGTCTTCTTCCCATCCTTCCGGTGTAGTGGAAGGGATGTGGGCCATGGAGTTAGATGAGCTGCCTTTGACTGTGGGCCCTTATGAAGAGGTTCTGCCCTTTCTTCACTATGTAGTGGGGGAGTGGGGTGGCAGAGAACCAATGAATAGACAAACAGCCTTTCCAGGGCATTGTGAAAATTGGATGCAAAATGTTCAACACTTCCTGTATGCTGACTTTACACTCAGGTGCAAGGCAGGCAAAACCATACTTCTTGGGAGCCTCTGTTGGAGGAGGGAATACCACATGAGCACGCATGAAGGCCGTTGGACAGGAAAGTTCGAGTGGACACTGCCTCACCTCCCAGACATCTTTGTGTAAACACCTCTTCTGAGAGCTACTTGGAGTACACTTGGTAGGCAGCATCTGGCTGATAGCCCCAGGGATGGTCTCAGCTGCGCACTCAACCAGAGGTGGCCCTGGAAAGGTTCCATATAATGACAGATCAATACAAGTTGACAAGGGTCTGGCTATCCAAGGCCCAAGTCAAAGCAGCTCTGAAGGACCAATGTAACTGCAATCTAACTGCATGTCATTAGGCCCAGGATAGTAGTTCTACGGCAGGTGTCTCTGGAGATAGGGGATGTGGAGTAGGAAGAGTCTTCTGCTCAGAGCCAAGACCTGAGTAACCAGCAGTCAGCCTTTGGGCAGGGCAACACTCTTGGTGAAATGATCAGAGGAAGGAGCAAGAATGGCCTTCAGAGGAGCCAGGAAGAAAGGGAAAGAGGAAGAATAGATGGAGAAAGGATTGGAGAACAGGACCTATGCCAGAGCAAGACCTTTAGATTCTAAGCTGGGGGTACTGATTTGACTGGTTTAAGGCCCTCCTCAGGCTGGAAACTGCAGATGGAATCAGAGAAGCAGGTGGGAATAGAGCAAGAATCTAGACTTTGGGCGATGGTGGACAGAAGCGGTCAGATGTGCCTGCTGAGGCGTTCTCACTGGTCCTAGTGGTTAACGGGCTAACGGAGGGTAGAGTGAAGGCATCGGGGCTCCTGGACTGAGCATGTGAAAGGCAGACTGGGTTAGCCTATGAAGAAAGTTCCCAGTCATCTCACTCACTGATGGCAAGAGTTTCCTTCACTCTGCTGTTCATGTGGTTTGTGTAACCTGGCAGCAGGCTTAATATTTGTAGGGGTTTCTGGTGAAGATGGCCATTGCCAAATGGACCTGCTCTCCAGTCTTCCAAACCTGCAAGTCTTCCAGATAGCAGAGACTACTTTGCTCGCAGAGAAGCACAGGGGTGACGGCAGTGGAGCTGAGTCTTCTCTCGGAACTGCTGCTCAGCAGTAAGACTCTAGAGCCTGGGCTCTACCTGTCCTCTTGGTTCTGGGCACGGAGCTTGAGAGAGTGAGCAGAGACTTCACGAGAAAGGGCTGATTATAAGCCAGTTCTTGTCTGTGCTGCCTGACCTGGATTTGCCTTTCATTGGATTTGACTAGTATTTGCTTGTTCAGTATGTGTTTTGCATGGCTTCTGAGGGACGCTCATGAGATTTAGGCCAAGTGGTCTATGGTGACAGTATTTGTGCATATTGTACACCTGGGTCAAGCAAGACTCCCAGCCACAGCCTGGTGTTGTCCCTCCTAGACACCTGAGCCTCACTTAGCAACCCTTGTTACCTGCTGCTCGGTGAGGCAATGTTTTGATTCTCACACTGCATTTGATATTGCATAAGAACTTCATCTCTTCCTAGCCCTTGTCTCGGAGGCTCTGCTTCTTCCTCCCCTGCACATTTTATATTTTGCGTTCTGTATTTAAGTGATCAAACTTTTAAGTGTATTTAAGTTTGAGTTGTGAGATTCAGTTATCTGTGTCACCCTCCACACCTTCTGTGGTCTAAGGATCAACCCCGGGGCGTGCTAAGCAGTCTCCACCTGAGCCAGCCACATCCTAGGTTGAGACTTATATTTTGCCCAAGAAGATCTAAGAGCTGCAGTGCCGTTTGAAGGGCTGTCCCCCCCGCCCCCCACTGAAGAGGTTTTATACCTCTGTCAGTCGGTTGAACACAGTTATTGTGGGTTTATTATTCTGCCCCTTTGATCTCTGAGCCTCCTTCTTCAAACACCATACAGCCTTGATAACTGTAGCTAAGCAGTAAGTCTTGTGGGTGGAGCAACTCTTCCCACTTTGTTCTTTCTCAAGAGTGTGCCAGCTACTCTAGCTCCTGCCATACAGACTCGGTGACAAGTTGTCTATGTCTGTTAAATGCCTTGCTGGAATCTGGATAGAAATTAGGCTAGTCTAGGTGGAATTATTAATTTCATTTCCAGATTGTTCATTGCTTCTATATAGAAATACAGTTGACAGCTTATGTGTCCTAAAACATTGCTGGATTCTTTAGCGCTAATAGCTGTTTTCTGTATTCCTTGAGGACGTCTTCATACAGGATTGGGTCTTGCTTTCCACTCCAGACATCTGTTTGTTTTCTCACCTGATTGCACTGGCTAGAATCTCTAGTACAGTGCTCATTAGAAATGATTTGTGCTTTCCTCAGTTCTTATCTTGGGACAGAAGCATTCCTTTTTAACCCTGCGATGTGAACAAAGAAACCCCTATGACCACCATGTCAGGTTAAAGAAGGAAAACCATACACACACCATGAAGATCCAAGAGAGGGGAGGTTGGATGAAGACCATTTAATTAGATGGGTCCACTGGGGGCAGGAAGTTCATTAGTTCCAGTAGATGAACTGCCTGCAGAAGAAGGCAGGCTTGGTGTTAATGACTTAGCATGGTTTTGTTGTGCCTTCTGATGGAGAAGATCTGTTCTCTCTTCATCATACCTCTAGGAGGGACAGCACGGAGCCCTCCAGAGCAGCTGCCAACACAGGTTGCATCTCTGCCCCATCACTCTGGCCTGGAGTTGGCTGGAAAGAGACAAGAGGTCTTTCCCACCATTCAAGAAGAGAACTCCAAGACCAAGCCTGTGGCATACATTCTGAGGCAGCTGTTACCCTCCAGGGCCTTGCAGGCCTCCTTCCTGCATTAACCTGACCTTCCCATGCTCCTTCCTAGTTAACCCATTCATGTGTTGTGTGCACTTGAATACCTCGTGAGGCACTGAAAAGTCCAGCATGGACTAAGAGGACCATATTCAGTAGACGTTTGTCACTTACAGCAGAAAATGAATCTCAAGTAAACTTCGTGGGCAGTGTGAGCTCTGTGGTAAAAGAGCCATTGCTGTGGTCACTCAAGAACCAACAGCTCACCTAAGTGTGGGTAGCTCTGGGACGGGTAGCTAGAGACCTACATCAAGGAGATTGCACACAGGGATCATAGTCAAGTTGTGATACATGAGATTTTTGCATTTAATCCCTTTAGCACTTAAGAAGCTGAGGCAGGAGGAACAAGAGTTTGAAGCCACCCTGGACTGTATAGTGAGAGCCTGCTTAAACACACACACACACACACACACACACACACACACACAAATCCCCAGAGTAAGGTTTCCCGAGGGGTGCAGCCCTTGAAAGGTGTCTCAGTTAGGGTTTTTACTGCTGTAATCAAACATCACAACCAAAAAGCAAGCTGGGGAGGAAAGGGTTTATTCAGTTCACACTTCCACGTGGCTGTTCATCACCAAAGGAAGTCAGGGCAGGAACTCAAACAGGGCAGGAACTTGGAGGCAGGAGCTGATGCAGAGGACATGGAGGGGTGCTGTTTACACTGGCTTACATTCCCTGGCTTGATCATCCTGCTTTCTTGTAGAACCCAGGACCACCAGCCCAGGGATGGCACCACCCACCATGGTCTGGGCCCTCCTACACTGATCACTAACTGAAAAAATGCCTTACAGCTGGATCTCATGGAGGTATTTCCTCAACTGAGGATCCTTCCTCTCTGATTACTCTAGCTTGTGTCAAGTTGATACACACAAATATATACTATTACGCCACAGCCCTTTCTTTCTTATTCATCCCTAAGATCTCACGTTAAAAACTTAAGTAACTTTGAACGTTCCACAATTTCAAACACATCAAAATTTCAGTCCCTTTAAAATAGCCAGTCTCTTTTAAAATCCAAAATCTTTTAAAAGCCAAAGTCTCTCAACTGTGGGCGCTAGTAAAACACTTTCTTATTTCAACAGGGGGAAAAAAAACAGGGTACAGTCACAAATCAAAGCAAAGCAAAACTGAATTCCAACTGTCCAATATCTGGGATCCACTCACAATCTCCAGGACTCTTCCAAAGGGCTGGGGTCACTTCTCCGGCTCCACTCTCTACGGCACACATAGCCTGTCTTCTGCTGCTGTTCTTGGTGCTCATTCCATGGTCCTGGCATCTCCAAAACTCAGGGGTCTTCTCCTGCCATTGGGCTGCACCTCTGCCAATAGCCTCTCATAGGGTCTCTTCATGGTGCTGAGCCTCCACTTCTTTGCATGACCCCTTCTGTCATGGGCCTTCAACTGCCACTGAGGCTGCACCTTCACCAGTGACCTCTCCTGGCTTCTCACATTGCCGAGCGTCAATTGTTTGCCATGACCCCTTCATGCCTTCCAAACCAGTACCACCTGGGTGACTCTAGCATATAACCAGGTCCAGCTGCCAGTGCGAGGTACAACCGTGGCACGTCTGGAACACAGAGCCATCTCTGTGCTCTCAGGACACCCTTCCCTGAAGATTTCACCTCGGTGATGCTGGTCTCTTCTGAATCACCGCTCGTTTCTTAGCTCCAGCCAACCAGCACCAGTTGCCCCACTAACACAAAGGTTTCACTTCAGGGGTGCTGCTAGCTTATTGATCATGGCTGACTCTTCAGCCCCAGTGCTGCCCTGGGTTCCGGGGACTGAACGTGGATCCTCACGCTTATGAAGCAAACACAATAGAATTATCTCCCCAGGCCCTATATGAGGCTTGGACAGACGACTGACAAGACTTTGAGGACACCCTCCAGCAGTGATGCCCCATGTGTACATGACTCACTTGAGAACTTCAAACAGGCGGTCTATTTCAGTAGGCCGGGGTGAGGGTTTGATTCAGCCTTGCCGAGAAGCGAAGAGAATCCTGCAGACCCTGCGGTCACAGTATGAAGAGCCACTCGGTAGAGAGCACCTGATATGAACTGGCTGGAGAATAGTGAGTGAGAAGAGCCGGGGAAGGAGGGAGAGGCCAGATTGAGCTGAAGAGTTTGAACCGTATTTGGCAAACAACATGACTTCTGAAGGTATTTGGGTCATGAAGTGAGCCAAGCCCAACTTAGCAAGATTAGCCTGGAAATGACTCAATAGACGACAGCAAGGACAACTCAGAAATTTATTATTCACCCACTCACCCATCCATCCATACACTTGCACGCCATCCCTACCCACTATTAACATAGTCTGGGGGAAAGATGAAGAGGACCGGGCCTTTTCCCCAAGGGATGCCAGGGCCTGGATCAATGAGCCACATTATGTAAACAGGGTTGTCGGCACAGGTATAGCATGAATTCTAATTGGTATTAATAACAAAAGCCCAGAGTCAGATATAGGGGTTAATGCTGAAGATCAGAGAAGCAGAGTGGCCAGCCACTAGAGAGCTCTTACCTCTACCAATGCTCAGACCAAAGAGGCAATCCTGTCCTCAGACTGCTTCCTTAGACTGCATCCTCAGACTGATCACTTCCTCAGACTGCTTCAGACGGACTGCACTGAGCTCCTGTCTCCTCCCGCCTTACACAGCACCCATCATGCAGCATTGTGGACTCTGAGACAAAGGAGGCATAAGCTAAGTGCTGAGAACAATCTAAGAAAGAAAACTGCACAGCTAAGGGGGTGGGAAGAGGCCCCTTGAAGGAGGGGACTTGGAGACCTGTCTTGGGAAGGTTCAAAGAACAGTGAGATATATTTGGGTAAAAAAAAGAGTCCAGTTGAAACATCTTGAGCAAAGGCCAAAGGGCGAGCAGACAATGGGGGAAAGAATGCTTTCAGAAATTTAGAATCGATGGGTTAGAACCAGCTGTGGGGCCAGCGCTTACTAGTCAGGTGCCTGTCTGCAAGTAACAAAACTGGCTCACCTGATGTTGGGGTGCTGGAGGCTCAGCAGCTCGTTGGTGACAAGCTTAAGCAGGTGCCTAATGTCCTAACCTGTCCCCCTCTCTCTGAGGATTGTCTCCGAGACGGAAGGGTGGAGTCAGTTGTCTTAGTTAAGATTATTATTGCTGTGATAAAATACTATGGCCAAAAAGAAGTGGGAGAGGAAAGGGTTCATTTGGTTTACACTTCCTCTTTGTTGTACATCACCAAGGGAAGTCAGGACAGGAACGTTACCAGGATAGAAACCTGGAGCAAGGAGCTGATGCAGAAGCCATGGAGAGGAGCCAGCGGACTTGCTCCTCACGGCTTGCTCAGCCTGCTTTCTTATAGAAAAAAACCAGAACCACCTGCCCAGGAATGGAACCACCCACAATGGGCTGGGCCCTCCCCTCACCAATCACTAATTAAGAAAATGCCCAGAGCCAGGCGGTGGTGGCGCACGCCTTTAATCCCAGCACTCGGGAGGCAGAGGCAGGCGGATCTCTGTGAGTTCGAGACCAGCCTGGTCTACAAGAGCTAGTTCCAGGACAGGCTCCAAAAACCACAGAGAAACCCTGTCTAGAAAAACCAAAAAGAAAAAAAAAAAAAAAAAAGAAAGAAAGAAAATGCCCTACAGGCTTGCCTATGGCCAATCTTATAGAGACATTTTCTCCATTGCTGTAGCTTGTGTCAAGGTGACCTAAAACTAGCCCACGTGTCAGTGAAGGTGAGTTATCCACTCTCAGAGGATCTGCGGCATTTCCACATCCCTGCTGTGCAAGCATTTCACACAAATCATTCTGTGGGTTCTTCCCTATAACATAAGGAGTAGTGTCTTTACCTTTAGGATGAGGCAAGTTGAGCATAAAGAGATTTGGTGGCTTGCCCAGGGTGACCCAGCTACCAGGCACCAGAGCGTCAAGCAGAGCTGTCTTTTGGGAGTAAAAATACAGGAGACTGACCCAGAAGGAGGTAGGCCCAGGCTACTAAAGAGAATCTTGGCAGGGCCAGGCCCAAGTCCAAGGGAGTCAAAGAGCTGGGAAGACAAAGTCATGTGATCTGCAGGGCTCTGATGCAGATGTGACATCAGTAGAGGCAGGTGCTGGGCTGGGAGAGACCATACATTGAAGGGACTAGGCAGAAAAGTAGGACAGCGTGCAAGGAACAGTTAGTGCTCCATGTGCTCTGAAAACAGCAAACTCCTGGGACATGGAATCAGGAGGGAGGTCAGAAAATCCTAGCAAGACTGGAGCTTGGAGACACAGGAGAGCACGGGAGCCACGAACAGAAGTGAAGGCTGTGTATACCCAACGCCTTAGTGTGTGATTGAGGCCAAGTGGTATACCCAGAAAAGGCTGGAGGAGACCCCAAAGGAGAGAGGGAAAGAGTACTTACCGTAGAAGGCAATGAGGAGGACAGGGACAGAGCAGGATTGTAGCACAGAAGCCTGCAGCACACTGGACACTGCAGTCCCTGGACACTGCTCAGTGGTCCATCCGGGACAAACACCCTCTGTAAACACACTCTTTCTGTCTTTCCGCCTGCTGTGGTTTCTGGTGTCCTCCATTTATTCACGTGTTGGAATCATAATTCTTCAATGGGCCAGCGTTGAGAGGCGGGGCCTCCTGGGATTAGGTTAATGGCTTCCTTACAGGAGAGACTTCTCTGCAGGACTGATCGGTCACTACCCAAAGCAGGCTATGGAAGGTCCTGTCTTCCTTTTGTTTTATGCCGTGATTTGAAGCAGCATGAGGTATTACTAATAGTACGATGCCAGCGGATTTCTTAGACTCCAAAACTATGACCTTAAATCAATTTTCCTTATAAACAACCCAATTTCAGGTATTCTATTAGAGCAACAACAACAAAGCCAGGCACTGTAGTGCATTCTTGTAGTCCTAGCTATTAGGGAGTAGACATGAGAGAACTGCTTGAGCCCGGAAGTCGGAAACTATCCTAGACAACATAGTAAAACTATGTCTCAGAAAGAGTAGGGGTTGGGGGTGGGAAGATGGCTCAGCTGGTAAAGTGCCCGCTGTACAAGCCTGAGGACCTGAGTTCAGATTCCAAGCACCCAGACTAAAGGTGTTTGTAAACCCTAGCACTAGAGGCGTGTGTTTGGGGGTGCAGGTGTTAGGGGACTGTGGGGGGGGCAGAGATAGGCAGTCCCCCAGAGCTCTTTAGCTCCCCTGTCTAGCCAGTCTGTGAACTTTAGGCTCAGTGAGAGACTGTCTCAAAATACACTGTGGAGAATGATTGAAGAAGACACCAGGCGTCTGCCTCTGGACTCCTCACATCCTCGTACACACAGAGAGAGCCTAAGTCAGAGAGGCGTTTGTGGAAGGGCAGACTGAGGTGATGTGAGGGGAAGAGTGGGAAATGATCTGTAAAGGCAGAGAGAGGCTAGCGGGCAAAGGTGACACCAGAAACAGGAGCCTCGGCTAGGACTGTCAGAGGCCCTGTGGGAGTGTGTGTACTAGAACAGGGCGCGAGGTATCGCTAACTCCAAGGGGGCTGGGTGTGAAGGGAGTTTTCAGATACACTGCCCAGAGAATCATGGGGGTCGAACTCATCAGTATGCAAGGCGCATCTAATAAAGGACCACACACTGGTGGCTTGAGCCACGAAACCAAGCCTAGTAGCTCTAAAAGCTGTCAGTCCAAGGTCAAGGAGCCTGGGCTGGGTCCTATGGCTGCCCCTTTGCTTTGCTCAGGGCTTACTCAGCCTGAGAAGGGAGGCCTCTGGTGTGTCTTCCTCTTCCTTTTTATTTAATTTAATTAATGCATTTATTCCTCCGTACGTGTGTGCACACACCTTGTTTTTAGAAACAGCATCTGTCATGGGGCCTGGAATTCACCAAGTCAGCCAGTATGCTCCAGGGATCCTTCTGTCTCCTCCCCTCTCCCCTCACCAATGGTAGACTGACTTTTACTTGGGCGCTGGGGATTTGAACTCAGGTCCTCATGCTTGACTGAGCCATCTCCCCAACCCCACTTCCTTCTCCTATAAAGACACCAAGCTCTATTCAGTTATGGTCCCATCTTCATGACCTCTTTTAACCTTAATTACCCTTGTGGCCTCATCTTCAATACAGTCACACTGGGAACAGGGACATCAAAGGGCACATTCATCCTATAACAAGAACCATGTAGTTCAGGTCCTTATTTTACAAATGAGTACACCAAGGGTTAGGAGGAGGTTAAGGGATTTGCACAAGGCCACACCACTGTGGGAACCCAATCAAACTGGACGGGCAATCAATGCCTTCAGCTACTGTGGTATGAATGGAGATCCCCCCCCTCCCCCCGGCTCCCACCCGCTGCAAGGAACCAGTCTGTTGACCTGAAACCACAGTAGAGGGGAACAGGCCTACACTGAAATCTGAGAAAGATTCGCCTGGACTTTCTGTTTTAAAAAGATGTGTCTTTGGGATGTAGGGAGGGTGGCAGTTGTGCGGGTTCCTTTGAGAATGAACGAGCAGTTTCCTAACTGCTCAGAGATGCTTGTAGACTTGGGTTTCTATGGTGGCGACAGAAGCCTTGAACGCAGGAGCCTTGCCAGGAGGAAGCAGAAGGAGGAAAAAAAAAATCTACCCCTGTGTTCTAGCTTTGGCTCAACAGCCCAACCTTGGGGTGTGGGCAGGGACCAGCTACAGCTGTTTGCCTTGGTTGGGTAACATAGACAAGTGGCCCTTTCTGTTTGTGTTTGCACATAGGGGGCCAAGTTTTGGTGCAAAAGGTCAAGTCCGGAGCCTGCAGAAGGAGTTAGGGAGCTGGTAACCAGCTCAGGGTCTGTCCGTGAGTGACGGAGAGACGTACATTCAGCTAGGGTTTGGCCTCACTGTGGGGCTACTGTTTGTCTACTCACAAGGACATCTCAACAATGACTCCCTGACCTTCCTGTACTGATTCAGTCCAAGGGTTTAGACTTTTTTTTTGGTAGGAAATTTTTATTTTTAAAAAAATGTATCAAAAATAAAGCAAGAGAAAAACATATTAAAATACAAATTTAGACAATGCCTTCCAGAGCCGCAGTGACATCGTGTAGGAAAATAAGGGCTTGGGAGACCCACCCTGCCTGTGTAACACTAGCTGCTGGCCTCGTAAAGAGTCACTCCCAACAGGAATCGGAAGAATGTGGTTTCGGGAGAAGCCACAGTGAGATACAGCACATAGCTAGAGCATTCTTTTTACAGCCTCGTGGTGACCTTTGCTCACCATTCCCTGACTTCGTCTGATAAAGCCATACCCCCTTTGAAAGCTGGGAAAAGGAAGTTGGAAACGGGGCTAACAGTTTCTACTATTATACCTCCGATAGCGCCACCTGCCCTGCATAGTTCAAAGATGCAGCCCCCTACACACCTTAACACTATACACACACACAGCACTATTCACACCCTCACCTTAGCACTATACACACACACACACACACACACACATTTACAAAACATAAATCTGTGCTGGGAACCTGTCTTAGCTCTCTCTGACTCCTTGCTTCAGCCAGCTCGCACCTGCAGGAAGCCTTACATCTGTCACTCTGCAGGATGGAGGTGCAGCCCTGCAGGAGCTGAAGCGGCCAGAATGGTGCTGTCTTCTAGCGCCCCCGAAGTGATTGCAAGTGAGAAAGGAGTGTTGTTTTTTCCAGTGACCACAGGGCCTGGGGTTGGTACAGGCATGATTTCTGCTCCCACTGTTCCCAAGGACAACTTTTGGTTGCAGGCTGTCTGTTTGCATGTGGTCAGTGGGTCAAAGGCCCTCACTCCAGTTTACTCTAGAAATGAGAATCTAGTGGTTTTACAGAAGGGCCATTCCTGCAGGCAGTGCAGAGTCTGTTCCTGCCCATGGTGTTACATTGTGAATGTGGGATCCGGGCAGGTGCTGCACAGCTCTGCTGGCACCTGTGAGCACGTGGTGAGGTGGATGTGGGCTGCAGGGGGCAGAGTGTAACCTCTTTAAGTTCACACTTTGGTTTTGTTGTTGTTGCTATTGATTGTTTGTTTTTCTATTTGTTTGAGAGAGGGTCTCAGCCTATAGCCCAAGCTGGCCCCAAACTCACAGCAATCCTCCTGCCTCAGCCTCCTGAGTCTGAGGATTAGAGGCCTACCAATACTCCTTACCTTTTTTTTCTTTTTTCCTTTTTTTATTTTTATTTTTCGAGACAGGGTGTCTCTGTGTAGCTTTGGAGCCTGTCCTGGAACTCACTCTGTAGAGCAGCCTGGCCTCGAACTCACAAAGATCGCCTGCCTCTACCTTCTGAGTGCTGGGATTAAAGGCGTGTGCCACCACTGCCTGACTTTTTCTTTTTTTTTCTTTCTTACCTCTTATAATTATCTCTTATATGCTTTTCATTAACATCACACCCAGATGGATACAGGAGAGTGGATGATACCACCCACCTGGTCATTTGACCTCGGGTGTGTCCATGGAAACGGTGTGTCCCAGGGTATCTTCATTCTGCCTGGCAGTTTAAAGGTCTAGATAGAGGATGAGTGCCAGGGAGTCTGATGGCTGGGCTGTGCCCTGTCATTCACTATCTCTGTCACCTTGGAAGATCTTCACCTCACAGGTTCTTCAATGGAGAAAATAAGGGGCCACCTCACCGCTTGTCAAGAGATTGGTTTGGAGGGTCCACAGAGGGCCGCAGGACCATCTACAATGTCCCTGGTGTACAGACAGCGTATGCTCAACCCCCTTGACTGTCAGTCACACCCCTCACTCGCCTGACCTGGCCGAAGTTGGCTTTTCTTGGGTAATGAGAACAGGCCGTTGGGAGGGAGGGAGGGACGGCACGCTCAGCTGCTCTCAGTCACTGGGACCTTGCTTTAGTGCCACTGTATCTCCAGGGGTCTTCATTTCCCTAAATGGTGACCACAGCTTGAGTGAGTGGACTCCAGAAGCACACAGGGACCATTAGGCACAAGTGGACCTTGCCAGTTTCCAGCAGGTCCACAGACGACTGTAAGGCAATGGTTCCTGGGGTCTCCAGGACTAACTGTAAGACAGACACTTCTCCAAGATACTCACACTCAGTACAGACAGCAGCCAGAGACAGACAGAAGGCCACAGTAGAGCCAGTACAAACAGAGGATCCCCTCTGCCTTGGAGATAGAGCGGGGCTGGGGCTCCGAATGACAAGACAAGAGCTGAGATGTCGTTTCTGGCCTGTCCTATAAGCCCCATTGGGTGGGCCCGGTCACTCCATCTGAGGACCTCCTCCAGTGGCACCAGGCAGCCCTGAGGCCGAGGCCTGATGGGGAGGGAGAGAGCACGGAGGTGTAGCAGATGGGAGATGAAAGGCTGGCAGAGGGAGGCAGTGGGGGCTGATAATTGCTGGTTTGAACTCCTAGCCAGGACCCAGCGGGGACTCCCTGGAGCTTCACCCTTTGCCAGAGAATGCACTGCTCCTGGCAAAGGGCCTCAGAATGGAATGTTCTGGGGCCAGCAGGTGTGAAGCAACTGCTACAAATGCTTGCTCAGTGATGTCAGAGGTCAGGGCTGGAAGGAGGCCAGACTCAGAGAAGTGAAGGTTGACTGTGTCAACCCAGTTTCCCTGCCTCCCCCCCCCCCCCCCAATCCCTCTGCTGCTCTTTCTGTTGTTGTTCGGTGAAGCGTTCTGTTTCTGACAAGGTCTCACTGTGCTGACCTTGAACTCTCAAACTCAGTTTCTTACCTCAGGCTTCCCTGTCTCATCTCATCTGAGGATGAGAGGCCTGCCCTGCCGTACCCAGCTCCAGCTCCATGCCCTCATTCATGGTTCTCATCTCCCTCCTCTCCCTGAGTTTAAAACTATTTCCTTAGGAAGTGAGTGTGTTTAGACATCTATCTTCCTCTTCTTCTTCTTCTTCTTCTTCTTCTTCTTCTTCTTCTTCTTCTTCTTCTTCTTCTTCTTCTTCTTCTTCTTCCTCTTCCTCTTCCTCTTCCTCCTCCTCTTCCTCCACCTCCTCCTCCTCCCTCTCTCTCCTCTCTCTCTCTGTCTCTCTTTCTCTCTCTCAATTGACAAGCCCTTGATTTGATTTGGATCCTCAAGAGCTATGAGTCCTTGAGATTACGTGGACATGAGCCAAGAAGCAAACAAAGCCACAGGATAACTTGCTGTACCCTTTGAAGTGTCAGTTTGATTAAATGATTGGAGGACAATTATCTATTACAACAAACATAAGAACTCACGCTCGCGCGCGTGCACACACACACACAAAGCAAAGAAACACAAAAAACAAGTGTACAGTAGAGAGAAGAGAAGGGTTTTCTTCCTAACATTTTTGTATATGCATTGCTGTTTTGCCTGAATGAGGGTGTCAGATCCCCTGGAATTACAGACAGTTGTGAGCTGCCATGTGTATGTTGGGAATTGAACTTGGGCCCTCTGGAAGAGCAGCCAGTGTTCTTAATCACTGTGACATCTCTCCAGCACCTGCTTCCTAAAATTTATTTTTAGTTTATGTATATGAATGTTTTGCTTGCATGTGTGTACGGTTACCACATATGTGTAGTGCCTGTAGAGGCCGGAAGAAGGTGTCAGATCCCCTGGAACTGGAATTACATTTGGTTGTGAGATGCCATATGGGTGCTGGGAATCGAACCCTGGTCCTTTGAGAGAGCAGGCATCTCTTCAGCCCCACTGCCTGACTCATTTAGCAATGACCTCACACTTTCACGGAAAAGCTTGAAAGTAAAAATTTTGATTTTTTTTTTCAGAACCATCTGGATAAACCTTGTGTCGGGGCCCATCACTTTCAAATACGGAGACAAACATTTTCAGCAAGAACGCCTTCGATGTCACCACGATACAGGTGTCAAAACCTGGGCATTGGTGTTGACTATCATGACCAACCGTTCAAGTTCTCCCGGTCTTCCTGTGATGTCCTTTTAATGAGAATCAGAGAATTTGATATGGGCTAGAGAGGTGGCTCTCTTGATGAAGTGCTTGCCACACCAACATGTGGCCGGAACCGAATCTCCAGAACCAGGTTTTTAGAGAGCAGAGAGTGATTATGTGTGCTGGTAATCCCAGCGCTGGGGTGGGAGAGGCAGATTCTGGGGATTTGCTGGCAGACCACCCAGTATCCTTGGTGAGTTTCAGTGAGAGAGCCTGTCTTAAAAAGAAAGAAAGGATACCCACGGTGGGAGCGAAGGATGGCTCCGTGGGTGAGGCTTTGCTATGTAAGTGGGGTGACCTGAGTTTGACCTCTAGAGTGAGAGACCTCTAGAGAGAGAGATGATGCTGTAGAGTTGTCCTCTAACCTTCACACAGACATCATACACACAAATAATAGTAATACAATTTTAAAAAGTGGATGACTTCCGAGAAAGACAACTCAGACTGACATCTGCACACATATATGCACACGGAAACACACACACACGAACACCCCCACATATACAATATTTGAACATGCATGCATAACATATGTACACATATACATACGTACAAAAACAACAGAAAACCAGTAGTGGTATTTACTAGGGACTATCCGAGCATTATTGTGGGACTACTTGCACCTTAGGAATTACGTCATATTCCAGGAAACTAAAGCTAGAGGACATTTGTAAGCATAATATGAGGAGGATTACACCAGACGGTTTGGTTACCAGAGCACTGACAGTCTAAGGTTAAACAGGTGTTTCCTTGGCAAGGCTTCTACCAATAGCAGTAGGTGTTATAAATAACCTTTTGTTCACAAACCCCCTGTGTGTGTGTGTGTGTGTGTGTGTGTGTGTGTGTGTGCGTGCACACATGTGCATACGTGTGCATATATGCCCCAGGTCCATGTCAGTTGCCTGTCTCAATCACTCTCTGTCTTACTTTGGGGCAGGCTCTCTCACTGAGTCTGGAACTCACTGATTCAGGGAGGCTGAGCAGCAAGGATCCCCGTTTCTACCTCCCTGATGCTGGGATGGCAGATGTGGACCGCTAAGCCCTGCCGAGGATCTGAACTCAGGTCTTCCTGCTTGTATTTACCCTCGGAGCCATCCTCCCAGCCCATACACTTCCAGCTTGATTTCCTTCTGTTGTTGTTAAGGTTGACACAGACAACACCATTTTGAACTTGACAGCTTTGACATTTCGCTTACATAAGCAGAAAGGATCCAGAGCAGAAGTGTGTGGTGTTTGATTGTCACGTCTTTTATGTCCCTTCCGTCAGGGAGTCTCTAGCCTTTTATTAATTTATGATGACAACATTTGAGTATTGCTGAGCCAGCCAAAGTTTTCTGCTTTCTGATGTGGGGATTGAATGGAGGTTTCAACTCTGGAAGGAACAGTATGAAGTGACACTGTTCCCATGGTGTGATTTCCATCCACTTCATCCCTGGTATTACTGTGCCAATTGAATGAGGTAGCGTTTACCTCATTCAGAAATGAAGTTATTTTTGCTTTGTAATTAGTTAAATATTTTGTGGAGTGATACTTTGAAACTACATAAAAATTCTTTTACTCATCAAGTAAATCATTATAGTTAATAATTAATGAAAAGTATGTTTACGAATATAACCATGACTAGTATAATTAATGTATATTTGACCTCACATGGATTCCCTTTTTATTTAATGGGTTGTAATGGGCTATAATCTATTATCACTGTTTCATGCTCAAATGACGTCAGGTTTGGTCAGTGGGAGCCCCTTCAAGCCAGTTTCTGGGTCCTGCATGTCACCATCTTTCAGACATTTCTTCTTCTCCGCCTCCTCTCCTTCTTCTTCTATTAAGGTCTCACTGTGTAGCCGCAGTTGATCCAGAACTCTGTGTGGGCCAGGACCAGACCGGCCTTGAACTCACAGAGACATACCTGCCTGGCTTCTGCGTGCTGGGGTAACAGGCGTGCACCACCACTCCTAGGTTATTTTCTGTTCTCTGCGATCCCTGCCCCAGCTCTGGAGTCACCTCCTCTCTGTAGAGCCCTTCTCCGGTCAGCAGAGAATGAATAGGATCAGAAGGCCACGTCTGTGTGGGCCCAGGGAGCTCACACTGGGACTGGCCTGAGGCCTTTGGTGCTTGCAGGCTCAGGTCCGTCTATGCACATGGACTTGCAGATACACATGTTTGTGTCCGTAGTCTCAACTCTTAGTTGATGGGAAGTGACACTGTAGCTCACATCTGTGTCTCCAGCTCCACAGAAAAGGTTCATTCTGGACGTTCTATGCTCACAGCGCTCCTCTGGTAGGAGAGACTGGCTCTATATGGTCCTTCAGATCCTGACTTATCTGGTCACACCCTCTGTAGAGATTGGCCTTGTAACCCTTGCCTCTTCTGTGGGGATGCTGTCTATACTCTCCTGCAGTCCCAGGCCATTCGCCCCCACCCCCAGCAGCCTTCTCATCCTCCACTTGGGCCACTGGATTTCTTTCAGCTGGGGCCTCATCCTCTTCTTGGGCCAGTGAACTTCTTTCAGCTGGGAATTGGCGCCTCCTAGTTACCCTTATCTACCCCAGGGGCCTCCTGCTGGCAGAGAATATTCTAGTCAGTTGTATTGGTGACTTTTGAAACATACAAACCCAGCTAGGCATGGTGGGTAGCACAAGCCTTTAATCCCAGTGCTCAGGTGGCAGATGGATCTGAGTTTGTGGCCAGTTTGGTCTATTTAGCGAGTTCCAGGACAGCCAGAGCTACATAGTAAGACCCTGACTCAAGCCTACACATTCCCTACCATACAAAAAAGAAACACGAAAGTCCAAAATGTAGCCTGGGTGATAACTCCCTCAGATGACCTTCAGGAATGATGCTTTTTGGTGAGGGTGGGTTACTTGTGATGCTGTAACAGTGATGGTACCCAAGGGTGGAGCAGGCCCTCACTTCCTCCTCAGACTGCCTGCTGGAAGCTGGCTGGGTTACCTCCTCCTGCTCCACCAGCTTCCTGCCCACAGGGAATTTCCCATCTCCCCTCAGGTTCTTGTTGCTTTTCAAAAGTGGGTGTGTGCTAGCCCTTCCCATTTGGATCACTCCTACCACCAGCAACCCACACCCCAGACACACCTAAGGGGCCACATCCCACTCCACAGGGAATAGACAATGAGGCCAGCTCTTCTGGAATTTTTCTTCGGACCCCCTGAGCTGGTTTCTAGGATGTCGCTTCACTTTTCCAGAGAAAAGAGACACAGAAGAAAGACCCTGAGGAACCCTGGTTTAGGTAGGTTTTGAATTTTACTGCTGTTCAGTTTTTTGTTTGTATTTGTTTTTGTTTTTGCTTCTTTTCAGACAGGGTCTCACTATGTAGCCCTGGCCGGTCTGAAACTTTTTATGTAGCTCAGGCGAGTCTTGAACTCACCTGCCTGTGCCTCCCAAGTGCTGGGATTGAAGTCATGTGCCATGCCTGGCCTATACTCTATGTACAATAAATGTCCCCAAGTCATCTAAGCTGCTAGTCCCACGCTTGTTCATGCCTTCAAGGCTCAGGGCATCCCGGAATGGAGAGAAAGTGCCTAGGACAGGCCCCTCTCGGGGGGACAGCAGCCTGGGTCACATCAAAGAGGCTGCTGTGTTCTCAGCTCTGGCCCTGACTAGCTGTAGGACTCGGTGGGATCCTGAGTGCTCCTGCCTCAGTTTACTCCACAATGCATCTCTCTTGGGGCTGACCTGCCGTTTAATACACATATTCAGTCTGAATCCCAGACAGCCCTCAGATGCACTCCCTCTCTGTCCGACCATAACGCTGGTGATGCCGTAAGACGCAGCATCCTGGAGGCTCCGTGGTCTTCTATTTCCACAAAGACAGTCTGTTCCAGAACTTCTTTGCTTCATTTAGCCAAGACCTCAAGGCCTGGTGACAGATTTCAGGATGGATGTCCTGGGCTGCTTTGCCAGGTTAGTGGTTTGGCCTCACCCACCGTTCATACCTCAGCAGTGTGAGGCAGAGCCCGAAGGCCTGGCCTTGAGCTCCCCCTGGCCTGGTCCTCAAGGGAAAAACCACACAGCCGTTTCCTGCTGCACACTTCTTCCCAGTTCAGCTCAGTGATGTCATGCCCTGGAAACTGGCCCAGCCGAGTAAGAGTGTGTAAGTCCCCGCAGTAGGCAAATACGACAAATCGGGGCTTGGTGTATTGTTTTGTAGCTGGGGCTGCACTTGAGAAAGAGAGGAAGGAAGAAAATGTGAGTGGGCAGATCCACTGAGACATGGGTTATACCCGAATGCAATGCTAAAGACAGAGAAAAGGGGGGGGAGGATCTTTTTTTTCCTAGTCTTTGAAAACTATTACCCAATTAACTAAGACCTTTTAATAAATATAATTTTTAATGAATAAAATCTGTGTAAAGATCACATAGCAGGTTTAAGAACAATAGATTTTTTGTTTTGATTTTCGAGACAGGGTTTCTCTGTAGCTTTGGAGCTTGTCCTGGAACTAGCTCTGTAGACCAGGCTGGCCTCGAACTCACAGAGATCCGCCTGCCTCTGCCTCCCAAGTGCTGGGATTAAAGGCATGTGCCACCACCTCCCAGCTGACAATAGATTTTTAAGGGTTTATTTATATGTTTGTTTATGTGGATATGTGTCTCTGTGTCTGTGTCACGTGTCCAAGTGCCTGTGGAGGCCAGGACTGAGAGTCCTCTGGAGCTGGGTTTGCAACTATGAGACACTGGATGTGGGCTCTGGGAACTGAACTCAGGTCCTCTGCAAATGCTGTATAAGCTCCTAACCACAGAGTCATCTCTCCAGTCCCTAAGGACAATAGTTAATGGAAAAATTAAAGGTGTCAATTGAGACATGAGTTCATTTGTCAAATCATGGCTAAATACGAGCTTGACCCAAATCAGTGAACAAGTCATATATGAATCAACTGGGTATACAGAATTTACAATTAGAGTATTGTATATTTTAACATTATTTATAAAATAGTTGTAAAAATTGTCTTTTCTGCACCCTTTATACCAGCAGAATTTGTAAGAAACACGTATTTGAGGTTTTTGTTTAGTGTTTTTAAATTTTACATTTATGTTTTGCTTGCACCCCATGCTTGCCTGGTACCCAAGGTCGCTAGAAGAAGGCACTGGATTTCCTGGAAGAGGAATTACATGTGGTTGTGTGCCACCATGAGGGTTCTGGGACCTGAACCTGGGTCCTCTGCAAGAGCAACCAGTCCTCTTGACCACTGATCCATCTCTCCAGCCCCAGAAACACATTACCGTGTGTATATACACAGATGTGTCTTGGGAAGAGCCAGTTGCTAAATCACCCTTGGCCTCTCTTCAGGCTGCACCCCTTGTCACCGTCCAGGACTGTAACTGCTGTGGCTCTGTGTGTCACTCGTTGGACGGTTTGAGGACAGGGAAGTCTCAGTAGCTCCAACGTGTAACTTCGCCGGCCACCTACTCCAAAGTGGAGCATGACAGACAGCATTCAGCACGGGGAGCGTGAAGCCCCCGCTGCGTGTGCCCTCCACAGCTGTGTCCTCCTGGGGAGACACCCTGACTGCTGACACCTGATCGTGCACCACAGTGAACCCAGCCCAGTGATGGGGGGCGCGGTAGGAGGAGAAACGTCAGCCAGGCTGGGCCCCCCAGATGCTCCCAGTGCCCCATCCTTCTCTGCTGCAGGGACACTGTGGGCTCTGTTGCAGACTGCCGCACGCCGCTATTCTGGAATGCCACTGCCTGGTCAGTTACAAACAAGAAAAGTTCAAGTTGGCTCACAGTTTTGAGGTCAGGTAGTTCAAGGTGGGGGAGCTGTGTCTGGCGAGGGTCTTCTCTGGTGAGAGGTATTGTCTGGCAGGAAGACATGCCAAAACCGGCGAGAGAGGGCTGAGCTCGCTTACATAACAAAGCCACTGTAGCACGTTTGTGGCAGGGCCCGGCCGCTGCTCATCTTCATTTTCAGATAAACCAGTTTGCACCTCCAGGCATTTCCTCCTCCGTCACACTTCTTCAGACGTACAAAATGAGGGGCTGAGCTTTGGGCTCAGTGGCTAGGCGTGGGTTCTTGTGGAGGACCGAGTGTGTTTCCCTGCACAGCTGCCTGTAACTTAGATATCCACACACAGACCCCCCCCCACACACGCATAATTAAAAAGGAAATGCATCCTTTAAAAAAAAGTGTTCAAAAACACAAAATGTGAACCCAAGGTAAGTTTTGTTCAAGGTCCAATCTGATGAGGGCTCCCCTATGCTGACACCTCCGAAGGCGGCCAACCCACGCAGGAGGCACACCCACCCCGCGTCCTCTATGATTAGAGGATCAGCCAGTGTGGCTGCTGTCTGGATCCGAGACTCCGTCTCCCATTAAGTGTGATTAGCCCGACCCACAGGCCCCTCCCTGCCCGCCATTCATCATTTGCCCGGACACAGTCTGGGAAGTGGATGGACGGAGAGCCAGCTTTAGAAACGGCTCTGTCACCCCACAGCATGGGACTGAGACCCCAAACGCCAAGCCCAGCAAGTGGGGCTCCTTGTTCTCAGCTGCAGGAGCCTTGGCTCAGTTCTGGAAACATTTGCCGAGCAGTGCTGCAGTGTGGTG